AAAAACGCCACAATTTTTTGCCAAGAACCTTGTTCTGAGATAATTACCCGGAACGGCATTCCATTTTCGTGCGTTTTGCAACTAAAAACATGTCGAAGCCCAGTTTATCTGTTTTCATGATCTGTTTAGCCAAATCAAGCAATAGAAGGCTATTGCACAAGTTTTTTGCAGCTGTTCGAACAGATTTGAGTGACACCTTTGGCTTATTATCAAATACCGACTCAATCGCCACTTGCGCTTTCTGACAAGAAAGAACCATTCGGGAAAACACAGAACCCACCTTCTTTGTCAGAAGGACTGACACAAAGACTCGATTCTTTGAGGTATGTGACCACCTGCCTCATGGGCAACACTTGACTCTTGGGCCTGAACTTTTCAAGCATTTACCGAGGGCGTTGATGTGCTTCAAAAATTCAAACCCAAGCGTCAAGTGTTCCCCATAAGGAAGGTGGTCACAAACCTCAAAGAATCGGGTCTTTGTGTGATTCCTTCTGACAAAAAAGGTGGGTTTTGTGTTTTCCCGAATGATTTTTTTTTTCAAAAAGCGCAAGTGGCGATTGAGTAGGTATTTGATAGTAAGCCAAAGATGTCACTCAAATCTGTTCGAACAGCTGCAAAAAACTTGTGCAACCGCCTTCTATTGCATGACTTGGCTAAACAGATCGTGAAAACAGATAAACTGGGCTTAGACATGTTTTTTAGTTGCAAGACGCACAAAGATGGAATGCGGTTCCGGGTAATTATTTCGGAACAAAGTTCTTGGCGAAAAATTGTGGCGTTTTTTCTACACGAAAAACTGAATCTCCTTCAAATATTGACCTATTTAACACCAAGAATTCTGAGCAGATTGTGAATTTTTTGGTATCGAATGCCAAAACTGTTGTTACGGCGTTGTTCCTAGATGTCTAAGATTTGTACTATTCTTTACCTCATGAAATGCTTCTAGAATTTGTCGAACAGTCCATACTTGAGCATGGCGCAGTGGCCTTTCAGAACACTTGTGGTATGTCAGTATGATGCTTTCTGGATTTACTGGCTTTGTACGTAACGTCCACATTCGTTATTTGGAATAGGAACACCTATATCCAAAAACAGGATATTTGTATTGGTTCGGCTATCGCATCCGTCCTTAGTGATATTTTTGTGGCCAACCTAAATAGAATAATTGATGAGAGGTTGTCGGGAACTAAGGTTTCCAATATCTTCAGGTTTGTGGATGATTATTTGGTTTTTTTCAAATGTGGTGCCAAAGAGTTTCAAAGTGTTGCTGTTTTGACACTTGGAGTATTTGAGAGAGTTTGTCAGCCTCTGAAACTAACACATGAAGTGCCCTATGGTGATACTCTCAGGTGCCTAGATCTTTCGTTGCGATTTTAGGATGGCCACGTTTGTTGGCTCTATGAGCCCAGGAGCAAAAAGCCATTGTTGCCTTTCTCTTCTGCCCATACGAACGTAGTGAAGACGTCTGTTGCACGAATGTGCCCTTTTAATTCGTTGAAGAAGTCCTGTTTTCACCTCATGAAGAAGAGCTTTGAGCAACAGGTTTTGCGACTGAAGGCAGCAGGTTACCCGCAATGAATGGTTATAAGCGTCGCTGAATCGCTACATAGGGATCTAGAGAAACAAAATAGGCCGGGTATTAACACTTCCCTGCAGCAGCGTAAAACGGCGGTTGTCTCCTATATCCATAGTGTAGCACACAATCTTAAAAAGATTGGTAATAAGGTGGGTGTTCGATTGGTCATGTCTGCTCCTGAAAAACTGTCTATAATATGCCACAAAACTTGTCCTGTTTCAAAAGAAAAGAAAGGATGTCAAATTAAGCATCGCAATAAATATGTTAATTGTGCACAGTCGGTTGTTTACAGAGTGCCCTTGTCATGTGGTCTTGTTTATGTGGGAACAACTGAAAGATGCTATATTGAGAGGCTAAAAGAGCACCACAATAAAGTGCAGAAGGGTACCAATGGTCACTTGGCGATCCATTGTAAGGAGTGCGGTTGTGTGCCTTATTTCGATAACACGTGCGTGTTATATCGGGACAGAGATTTATTAACCCGTTTGACAGTATAAGCGGCGGAAACGACTCGCGATGATTTTGAGTGTGTTAGGGCACCCTCTATCTCGCTCACGCGAAAAGAACTATGTTTTTTGGATGGGGTGATAGACAATAACGGATAGTAGTGTACGGGACTAGAACGTGTGCTTTTTGTTGTCTACCTTTCATTATTCTTTTTCTCTTTTCACTTCCCTTATATACTTTGACGTTTCCAGTAAACGTTTAGTGGAATTTAAGCGCTTGTGTGTTTTGTGTAATAGTGGCTGCGCTTCCTAGCAAGATAACAAGTATTTTAGCTGCATTCTCTTTATTTTTGCGGCAGTGAATGCGCTAGAATTTACACAGTAAAAAAACATTCACACCCTCAGGAGTGTAGTACCTGTGTTCCTCTTGAACGCACTTTTATAAACACCCTCATCACACCGGTAGTTTAACAATTTGGGCGTTCGTAAGCAAAAAAAAAAAAGAACCCTGCAAACACTCCGTTTGCTTATCTGAGGGGTGTTACGAAGAAGGCTTAAAATGCAGGGAATTTTTGGGCAGGTTTTATTTATATTTCAAGTATATATAAACCGGCTTCTTACTAGGAAGGCCCCTTTTAGTAGCTGCTAGCGGTTCTAGTGATGAATCAAAGGAGAAAGTAAAGCAATACCACCAAAATACATTGTTGATTCGTAATGCACTCAAACTACAAAGACGAAAAACACAACAGGAGCACCGCCTATTTAAAAAGGTCAGGGCCAATATTGTAATTTATGTAGTGGCAGTCCTTTTTACCGACTAGATCACCTCCCACATGCCCTTTGAGATCATCGCTGCAATACAGGCGAATCACTTCCTACCGTGTTCACGTCTAGTACAAGAACATAAATTACAATTGCAACCCCGCTGGCTGATTTACACGTGTAAGCGCTGCCTTACGCAAACCAAACCCGAGTGTCTAGGAGTATTCTCTATTATTCGAAAATTTTCTGATAAGCTTTAGTGGACTACGAAGACTTCAGAATTTTTGTCAACCTAATGCGGCCTAAATCAATAATGGTGAGTTTACGATATAGCCTGCGTAAATGCCAAAGCAGTCTACAAATTATAAGATTAATCAACAGCCAGTAGCGTATCCAGGGAGTGGCACACCTAGCTTCTGTTCCCGCCTCGAATTGTTTTCGCCATGGCATATATAGCAAAAGATGACAATTTCAAGGAGGTTCTCCCGCATCCCGAAATCAAGCAGGTGTCACACCCCTGAGAAATGTTTCTCCGAACGCCCCTGTCGACATCTCTCGACTGCTCTCACCGCTATCAGTGTACAGTGTAAACTGCTCAAACTTTGAACGCTCTATTCCTGGACCCAAGTTATTCCAATAAATAGTTTCATGTTTTTGAATATCAACGAAGCCTTCACTTTAACCAACTTAGAGCTCTTAAGAGCCGAACGCCTAGTTCAGAGAAGGTGACAAACCAAACGTTGTGTCACCATCTTTTGGCGTTCTGATATTGAATATGTGGGGCTTAACACCATAGTGACGCCATAGTGGAAGGCCCCAGAAATTTCGACTGCCTTGGGTTTTTAACGTGTATCCAAATCTGAGCACATTGGCCTATAGCATTTTCGCCTCCATCAAATATGCCGCCATCACTACCGCTATTCGATCCCGCTACCTGCGGGTCAGCAGCCGAATATATACCTTAACCACTAGACCACCGTGGAGAGGCGTGTCACCACTTTTTTTTAACTACGCCTTCACTGGTCAAAAATGAACTATCAACAACTAGCCCAGATTCCCCACACTGGGATTAAGCTTTCTTGATCGTCATAGCCACGTTACAGGGTACGTAGTCAGAAAAGTTGAGCTTTTTAGACTACTAGAGTGTCTACAACTGCGACTGTGTACGTAACTTTAGCATGAGTGACCATTAGAGGTATCTGTCTAATTTATGTAGCATTGTATAAGGCCTATAACTACATCATATTAACTGTACAAAGCTGCTTACAGAATCACATTACGTCACCAGAGGAGACCAATCAGGTAGTCTCCTTGGTCTTGCAAAATGTCCTTTAACAGAACGTTTTATTATCAACCACATTAATCATTACATGCAATATTGTATGTTAGAGAATCGTACTGCTGTCGTCAACGGTTGATGTAGCAGCGGGAAACATTCATGAAAAAAAAAATGGAGCGAAATGCGACAGTCCGTTTACCCACAATGTCACAGCAAAAATGACGCGAAATAGAAGTAAGCGTGTGTCTGTCCGTAGTTAGAATTATTTTTGTTCAGACTTGACATATGAGTTATCGGTAGTCTTCGGTATTAATGAATCCTGCCGAAGGAATCTATGGAATATTATTTTCCACAAATAGGACCTAGCAGTGATTTCTCAATACAGGCATTGGCCCCTCCAAGATGAATTATGTTGCTTTATTTTTCAATGTTCATGACACAGGGATGACAAGTTACTGGGAAGTAAAGAAAGATCACTAATAGCAATAGAAATGACAGGTCAAGCTACTGGCAATGTTTGGACGTTGGTCGAAATGTCACGCTTAGTGTTCATGCATCTGCACCTAAGAAATCAATAATATGGCAATTGGCAAGGTAGGAATTTTGTTGCCGTCAGTCGCATTTAACTAGCTGTAGCTTAAAGGGTATTCGTCGACGGCGACACCACAAAGGTCAAAAACGCTGCATTTCATATCGAAGGTATAATTCCGAGGTATGAGATCATAATTGAACTATGTAATATGGATGCCAGTAGACGTCATGGAGCGAAAATGAACTTTTTGTGTATGAGCAAATTGATGCGTGGGACGTGCAGCTGGGGTATTGCCAGCTTTAGGAAAACAGCAACTAAAGAAGAAAGTTCTTCCCACATACTTTCCTCGAATGGTCCTTCAAGACCGTCGAAAATACTACGCTCATGCAGACAAATGCGCGTGCCTTGGAAGCTTCAACGGACACGAAGCTTCGACGTGTAAGGACCACGTTCACATTACTTCTCAGACACAACTGGTCTTCGATTAACGCTGCTGAGGTGAGGAGCATGGGTGTGGGTGTTACAATTGTTTCCAAGCGTTTACACTAGACGGAATTAGTGAATTGTACTTTTATCAATACATCGTATAAAGTCAGAGCAGTGTGCTGTTTCGGTCACGCATACGCTGTGCAGCTGCATTACGGTGTACAGTAGCGCTTATATATAGTGTGGAGAGCGCCGTGTTCTGCTTTCAGGTGAAATCACTTTCTTAATAACACCTTCCATAGCCCAACAGCTACACGTTCTCGATATCTTCCTGCGACAAGTAAGCGCTCATAGTATATTCTCATAGCTGCGTTCGTGTTATTAGAGTGTGCTACCTCTTTCCGGAACCAGTCAGACCATACAAAAAGTGTCTATTCCAAAAATGGGTGCTGGTTCATGCATCTATGTGCATTTTTGTTTGTTCTTTTCCTTAGTTGAGGCGAATTTCAAGCACAAAAAGCTAGGGCAATAATTTCGGTGAGCGAACAAAGATGTGTAATTGTCGATTGCGTAAAAGCAGGATGTTAGACTATAAATTGATCAGTGTGTTATTTATCATCCTGCCGCTATATCTGCCAGGAATAAGCTCTAGGTAAACGTCGCGGCACTCTTGGACACTCGATGTAGCATTGAATATTTTCGTTGGTATTACAATACCAGAATATCATGAGCCATTTTTTTTAAGAAGCGAAGCCTCTTACGATGTGCGTTGTACCTCCCACGTCATCGTAGTCGTCGTGGTCGGCGTAGTAGCTAGTTACAAATGGTGTCAGCATGTCCACGGAGTGAATGAGGAGGAGTGGGGCGAAGCGTCCTTCCATTCCTCCATACGTCTGTGCGTCCATTCGTTAGTCCATGTGTCTGTCCGTACGTCCGTGCGTGCGTCCATCTGTGCGTTCATCCGCTTCGCCCCACTCATCATCATTCACCTCGTGGATATGCTGTGATTTTTCTTTTCAATTACAGTGGTGCCCTTAAAACGGAGAAATAGAAGACGATACGAATGAGCCGGCCTTAGAGGCATAACTTTCATTTGAATAACACCTGAATTATTTATATTTACTAGAATATAGAACGCGTTCAGCTTCTTAAGTCAGTTTAAAAAACACATACCTTAAATATAGAACACGTTCAGCTTCTTCAGTCAGTTTAAAAACATATAACTTATGAGTGGACGATTGATAGGGCGACGTGAACTTTGAACAATCATCCTAATTCACCAGAATGAATTTTTCATACACCAACTACTGTGCACGTATTATAATAATAAATGCGCTGCTCTTGTGTCAACGCCAACATTAAACAATGTATTATTTGTAATCCGTTTGACTTTTTCTTGACCAAGTATTCACTAACAAAATATGCAAATGACTAAATATTGTATACGTCAATCAACTGCATATTCCCGGAATCCTGGCTTGGTCATTTTTGGGTGTTAGCTAAAGATTGCTGGCGAATATTTTACGACGTAGTAAATGCCTTAGGCGTTGTCACAAAAGAAAGTATAGTAGTTTACATATTTTTGGTTAATGACTAATCCTTGCTCTTGCTCTCTCACGCGTAGTAGCTTATACTGCCAGAATGAACATGAATTCTCGTCTGTCTTCTTTCCACCCTTCTATGCAGTTTATGCATCTATTGCCACAAAAATTCTTCACTATAAGACATTCTAGCTGTGTACAGAACGCGCAGCACTATACCATCTATAGCTAGAGGAGGTCATCTACAACACATTTCCGTAACATTTTTCAGGCCACTTATTTTACGTGGGAAAAGTAGTGGTCCAAAGTCGGTACACCCGAAAAAATTCTACAAGTTTAAATTGTGAACGTATGAGTCCCATTAAAGTACCTGCACTTTACTTCTACGCACAGTTCTTGGCAATTCAAACGCGATGCTCGGAGCACATGGCTGCTATCAGCAAAGGTGACAGTGAGGAATGCAGTGGTAGTGACGCTTAGTGACTACATCCGATGAACACTCGTTTATTTTGAGGTTCCCGTTGACGTCGACAGAGTGCTGCAATCAGTTGGTAACACCCGCCCGTCAGCTCTATAGCTGTTTTGCGTGGCACAGCATGAACCACCTTTTTCGAAGAAAAGACGTGCCGCGTTTTTTGGCACCAGTTTAGATCTTGGACAGAGTGCCAGTCTACTGGATGCAGTCACCATTCGTAACCAACGTTCTAGGCCACTCACTGCCAGCAGTCAGGCACTCCCCGAATGACGGTTCAGCCACGAAGCCTTGCACCTTTTGTTGTTGATTAATATTTATGAACACGGGGCAGTGACGAAGTTGTGACAAAGAAAGTGGATACACCCACGTCAACTCCATCAGCCAGACAAATTTATGGTGAAGACTGTTGAGAATGAAATCTGCGACCTCTTGTAATGAATGAGCAGTTCAAGGCACCCGATTTGACTGGACTAATTGTTATGACCGTGCCACAGTTGTGCGAAATATGGTAAATAATTTCATATTCATGACTTCTTTGCGCAAACACGCACACGGACACAAGGAAAAGAGGCAAATAACACGGGCACAACACGGGTGCGCCCGTGTTCTTTGCCTCTTTTCCTTGTGTCCGTGTACGTGTTTGCGCAAAGAAGTCATGAATGAATACCAACTCGCCCAACTTTCAGTACTGTTGTTACAAATTTTATATTCGTTGAGCAGCTTTACAGCATCCCGACGATACGCCGTTCGTATCGCTTGTCACTCTGATCTACACTACAAAAATGGATGGCTACGTTGTTGCTACTGCCGTTGAAGACAAAGAGGAATCAGTGGTGGGAAAATTTTGTTGCTCGAAAACTATAAAACTCTTACCCATTGCGCCAATTGAAATGCATGAGTTTTGATGCAACGCTGCGCAACTAAAGGCAACGTTTCAAGCTACCTATTTGCATAGATTACTCCCCGGGTTACAAGAGGTCTAACTCAGTGTTGCAATTTTACTTGATGGTAATGCACTGTGGCATAGTTGCCTATCATGCATGGCGGGTGGTTTTAGTTTCCCTGGACGTTATGCAGTTAATACTTGGTGAAAACTTACGCCGCTGCAGCTTGTGCACATATGTAGCTGCGCACGTGACGTTGGCTGACGGCGACTGAAAGGCCTTCCATGACAGTCTCTATTTTACGAGGCGTCACCAGTATGCGGAGTTTTGAACGTGTCCATTAATTACGCGTAAAGCCACCTTTCAGCAATCGACTGCGCGTAACACTCTCGCCTCCAGACCACGAGAAATAATTTTGGCATTTTTTCATGGCCTTTAAGCAGTGGTAAATGACCCTTTCGCTAAATATGAACGACAATGCCCGTGGCAATCTTTAGCGGCCTCTGTCTAGTGAAACAAGAGAGATTCTAATACTACAAAGCTGTTTTCTATCCTGCTGACTGGTAGACGTGGCTGTATTGCTGCCTGGTGTGTATTTGTCAACTCTTCATGTTGCGCCGTGACCGTATATATCATGTAGTAAAAATAAACAAGAAACTAGGTAAGACCTGCCGTAAGTCACCATGTCCTACCTGGCGGCGAAGGTAAGTGAATACATAGGGATTTATTACAAGCAACAAAGTGTTGTTTCACGTCTTTGCAAAATATATGGCCTTGGGTAATGTTGCTAGTATCCTACGATGTGAGACCATTGTGATACTTGTGTCACTGAAAAAAACTGGTGCGCTCAAATTTCTTTTTTTAAAGACCCTAGTCTTTCTTGGAATACGAACAAGAAATTTTGGTCTGTCTGTCTTTGTGTCTTTCTTGTTTTTCTGTCTGTGACATGGTTCAATATCAAAATGCGAAGATTAAGCCATTCCTAAATGACCAGGCATAGTGATCTAATTTCTGCGCTCATACGTGCTGACAGTGTCAATAAAAAAGAAAATCTTACGCATATTTTGGCGCAACATCACTACTTGATCACTAGATAGTGTGCTACTTTATTTTTAAAATGCATAGATAAATAATTCAAAAGACCGCAGTGCTTAATACACGTCGCTGACAATGCGAAGCTACGACTGAAAAAAAAACTGGTTTTCACTATGCTTCACTGACTCTACTCGGTGCTGCCTCTTACCATGCAGTGACTTTCTGTCCTAAAACAAAGTTTCTTCATAGTACGTTCTGATGGCGCCCATGTCTCACCGAGCGCCTACTCGTCAAATTTCTCGCGCATAACTTCAAAAACAAGAAAAAAACGTTTTATTCTTTCTTTCAAAACAGACAACTATCGTCCTTGCACGAACTTTGCCAGTGAAGCACGGAGATAAGCCGCCAGTATTTTTATCCTACCACTCCCTGTTGTTTTGCCCGAGGCTTCATTCTCATGGATGATGGCGCATTTTGAAACTCCTGTAGTGTTTTAGTAGAATCATAGATGCATAAAACGTATGAGTGCAAATGTAGTTTTGTAGCCGGAATCAATGTTGCAACAAACTTTGACTATTTTACATTTTAATCATTACACTGTGGAAAAATAAGAAAATATATTTAGTTCATATATCAGTTGCAAGTTGTTGTGTGCACGTTTTTACAGCTTGCCTTCCTTTGGTATTAGTGCGAAACTCTTTTTGGTTCACTAAATGTTCCAACAAAAGAGTGATGATATTCTCTTGGACCCTGATAATTCATATTCAATGTTTAGAGCGTCTACTGTTCTTGATATGAGGGTTTACGATGCACTGAGGTGTATGGACTGGCAAAGTAACTTTCAAGCTTGACAAGTGGCGTTTTGTACGACGAATCTTAGCATGTCCACTATTATGCCCTTTATTGAGTATATAAAATATAGGCATCATCGGTGTAAAAACGATGTGTATTTTTCTTCATTCCTCCAGACGTAAAAAAGAGGCATCTGGATATCTGAACTTAAAAGGCTATGAAGTCTGACCTATGCTTCTCCTACAGAGCAAAAGCTAGGCTGCTACTCTCCAAAGCCTGCCAATACGTACTTTTTTCTGCGTTTCTCATCGAGTATTGCTCAGGTAGGTGCAGCTTCTATAACAAATTTGCTCCTTGCGCTGATTTGTGCACCTTAGTAAACCTCATCTCTGTATTATTTAGGCGGTGAGCCACAGGTCTAATACTTGCTGCCGCTACATATTGTTTTTGGTTACTGAGTTTGATAGGGCCTATCGAGGTGAACTGCATGCGCATCTTCCTAGTCTGAGTAGCATCAAGTCATGTCTCTTAGTATGAACTTAACATCTTTTGCTATATTGCTATGAACCCATATCAATATTGCAAAGAAATAATGTTTTAATTTTTACGATAGCAGAAACCACCCTTGAAAGTATTTTTATATAACGTAGTGTAACACAGTATGAAGTTGCCAATTCGGTTACCCTTTAGAGAGCCCCATTATAAAAATCTTTGAATATATCTAGAAAAATGTTGCACTTTCAATTATTTTCTAGGCTTCATTGTGTACCCAAAGCTACTGGAGAGCAGAGATCAAACAGGTCCACTTATCTTGCATGTTCATGATGGTCTCACCCTTAACCTGGAAAAGAGCTCTGTACTCGCAAAGAACTTGGAATTTGTAACATCATCTTCCGCGCAGTTTTATACAGAAACGGTAAGAACACTACTGGCATGAGAGATGCTGTTAAATGTCGTTTCCAATATCTTCAAGTGACAACGTGATGCTTTCGTACGATTTTATGAGTGTTGCACAGAAACAAGCAATACTATATTCATATTTCCGCAAGAATTTTCACACGTGAGTGCATAGGCTCAAAAAGTCCTTATCTATTTTAGACATTTCCATGTGTGCATCAGTTATAAAGGAAGTGTAAAAGAAAGCAAAACTACTACTCAAACAATGATGTGAAAGTGGGCGCAGCAAGTTGGTAAAGCGTCACATGTGTTTCCACTATACCAAACGTTAGGCAAGCGTTGCTTCATATTATTTCAATTGAGTGACGTACAGTGACATGAAGAGTCAATCTTCGTTGTAATCGCTTACTATACGAAGTGTTTCTCATGTAGGAATTTATATTGCTCGGTCAGTATTATAATTGTTGGTAGTATCTTGGTGAACCGTTTTTGTGTCGCCTACGTTGCGCCCATAAAAAAGACAAACCTGGTTTTCCAGGATTTAGGCACCGATGTGACCTTGATGTTGATTGATTTGTGGGGTTTAACATCCCAAAAACATACATATAATTATAAGATACACCGTAGTGGAGGGCTCTGGCAATTTCGTGCACCTGGGGTTCTTTACCGTGCGCAGATGTCAAGTTGTGCTGCAACAACTCGCTAAGAAAAGTAGCATGCCACTTACACTTTGACTGTTCTTTATCGACAACAAGACACACCCAGCTCACGCCCATGTGTAACGTGAGAGCGTTCAAAACGTCGTATTGCAGCAATTCTTGTAAAGGCTTCCATGTCGCTGGCTGTCAGAGAAAAGTCAGTGTTGTTCTTAGAAAAAAACTAGAGCAAGATGCAAAATTGTCATAAAAACCTTACGTCTGAGTGAAAATCGGACCCAGGCCTTCTGCGTAGCAAGCACCTGTTCAACTACAGACCCATGTCCCTCCTGAACAAACAACCTATATGTCCCTGCAAAAACGTTTGTTTGGAAAACATTCAAAAGAGATTAACGAATGTCATGAAAAAGAAAGAGGGATGTTGCAAAGTGGAAGCATACTGCTCAAAAGCCCCGGCGACGTTTCTTTACTCCCGGAATTTGGTGAGTGTAGAAGATCAGATGCTAAAGGAGCTTTGGACAAGATAATTTTCTGTGGTCTCATTAACTGCTTCATTCGCTTGATGAACCGTGTAACAAGAACAATGTATTGTACAATTCTCTACATAATAACTTCTAATAAAGCAGCTGTTATAGTAATTAGAATTTAAGCAATTGTTTCATTAGCTTTAGTTTTCTCATTCCACTTTCCTTAAATCAGCGTAAGTGGCTTGGCACAAGTAATTATAACTTGAATTGCGGTTCTAAAATATTTTTCGGTCAAGCGCAAGCATTGTGTTATAATTAAGTTTGAGCTTTGAAAGCGATTTTACGAGAATACCTATATAGAATTCACTCAGCCAGTATTTAAGCTTTCTTTTATGAATACTATCGTATACGAACTAGCTTTATATTATGTTGTGAGCACAGTGCAGTACCTTGTTTTGGAAACGGAGAAGAACTAAAACATCTTACTCATTCAACTTCCGCAAAAGTTGGTGTAATGTCTGAGCTCGTAGAGGCATAATGATTTTTAATTTTCAGTATTTGAACTATGATTTTTAATTTTCAGTATTTGAACTATGATAGGTTAGAACACGTCTGCAGCATTAACATTTTGTATAAACAGTATCATGTTTAGAAAGTTAGCTGTTGTTTAAGCGCACGAATAAACACAGAGGAAGAAAGGACAAGTGCTTTCTCACAACTAAACAATTTAATAGAAAGAGAAGAATATACAAGCAGGCAATAAACACTCACTCATGATTGTGTTTATTCATGTGCTTAAAAACAGTTATGCATATCCCACAAGCGCAATTTTTGATTCTGTTGTAATGAATAATACTTCTAAGCACAGATAACCCGACTGGCGTGTAGCTGCGATCAGCCATATTCTAAACTATGACTGCTGGAAGTTACGATCATAATATGTGAATTTTTTAATTCACCATAGTTCAATTAGTTTGCAGTGCATAACAAATTTCGCTACTCGTAGTAACACAACACCTAGAAGTATGGCCAGTGTGGACACAGTTTTGTCAACCTTCATTCGTATAACACATGCGCGGTTATTTCACGATAAACATAAGCTTACCTTCGAAAAAAAGAGGGTTTCGGATAGTGACCTGACGGAATGGAATATGCCGAAGATATATAAGGGATATTGTACATGCTACCATGCAGTGGCACATACGTTAAGAGAAACTATATATTGTAAGAATACTGTTAGACGCTACGCCGTGGTGAAGCAACCGTTTAATGGGCCTAACAGCAGCGAGATAGCAACCAGTGATTTCAGCCGCAGCTGCCGTAGCACGTGCCTTCCCAACAACCAACGTATTCTTCGTCGTTTCTTTAGCAGAGCCCGTATTTGTCACTACATTGACTCCCTGGTGTGAAAGGAGCCATCCTGGCGACCTATGGCACAAACAGGACTGGTGGATCCTAATGAAGTTTTAGACAGTTGACGTGCACAGTCTCGCACCCGCGGCGCCGTTGATGTGCAGGTGGCCGAATAGGTTCAACCATGTAGCTGACTCGTGATGTCTGGCGCAGGATCCGGTACGGACCGTCATACTTGGTTGTGAACTTTGAGCAAAGGCCTGGGGCAGACTATGGGCACGCGGAGCCACACGATTGTTCACGGCGTGTATGACGAAAGGGTTAAGCTTCGGTCATGGGAGTGCTTCTGGTGAGCCTGATCATGCGTAGTCAGAGAACGTGCGAGCTGCCGACATTCTTCGGCATATGTGGCGGCTTCAGCCAAAGTTGTCGATTCTGAAGGGTCTGGGCGGTACAGAAGGATAGTGTCCACGAACGATGATGTTTCCCGACTATAAAGAAGAAAGAACGGGGAGAATACAGTTGTAAATTGAATTGCGTTGTTGTAAGCGTAAGTAACGAATGGCAGTATGCGGTCCCAGTTTGTATGGTCATCAGAAAGATACACGGAGAGCAAGTCACCCCGCTCACGAATAAATCGCTTGGTCATCCCGTTGCTTTGGGGTGATATGCGGTGGTTGTTCGGTGCACGATGTTGCATTCGCGTAGGAGGGCTTCTACAGCTTCCGGCAAGAAGGAACGTCCACGGTCACTGAGAAGCTCGCGGGGTGCACGATGTCGAAGGACGAGGTTGTGCAGAATGAACAAGCCGGCTTCACGCGCAGTGGCTTCGGGAAGCGCCGAAATTTCGGCGTAGTGCGTAAGGTGGTCCACGACCACGACGACCCAGTGGTTTCCATTTGGTGTGTATGGAAGGGCACCGTACAAGTCGATTCCGATGTGGTTGAAAGGCCGAGAAGGACAAGACAGTGGTTGGAGTTGCTCTGTGGTGGTGCGACGGAAGCTCTTCCGGCGTTGGCACAAGGAACATCAACAGACGTACTGCCTAACAAAGCGCTACATACCGCGCCAGTAATATTAAATTCGTAGGCGAGCTTACGTCTTCACTACACCTGCATGGGCGCATCGCGGATCCACGTGGAAGGAGGCACAGGCGTCAGAACGTAGGTGTCGAGAAATTACCAGCAACCATTTGCGGCCATCAGATAGGTAGTTTCGCCGGTACAGAAGACTGTCACGGATGGTATAATGACGAGCAGTTCGTCGAAGTAAATGGTTGTTGATACGTAGAGGCGTCTGAGACAGGTACTCTAAGAGAGACGCTATCCATAGATCTTGGCGTTGCTGAGTGGACATGTCGGCATGTTCAAGTGAAGAACATTCGCAGCTGCAAACAGATGCTGTAACATAATCGTGGGCATGTGGCGAGCGAGAAAGAGCGTCGGTGTCCGAATGCTTGCAACCTGACCGATAAATTACACGAATGTCGTGATCTTGGAGACGTAGAGCCCAGCGAGCTAGGCGACCAGATGGGTCTTTTAATGACGAAAACCAACACAATGCATGGTGATCAGTCATGATGTCAAATGGGTGGCCATATACGTAAGGTGGGAATTTGGTGATTGCCCAAACAATGGCAAGGCATTCATTTTCTGTGACTGAGGAGTTCTTTTCCGCTTTAGTGAGGGTGCGACTAGCGTAGAGAAAAACATACTCATCTAAGCCAGATTTACGCTGAGCAAGAATAGCACCGAGGCCAACTCCACTAGCGTACGTACGGATTTCGGTTGGAGCGTCTGGACCAAAGTGACGTATTATAGGTGGTGATGTCAAAAGATGGCGTAGAGAGGTGAATGTTTTGTCGCATGCTGGGGACCACGCCGAGATGTCTTGGTTGCCGGCAAGTAGCTGCATCAGGGCTGCGATTTTGGTGGCGAAATGGTGCACAAAACGGCAAAAATATGAGCAGAGGCCGATGAAGCTGAGGAGCTCTTTTAGTGTAGCCGGCCTGGGAAAGTCGGTGACAGCGCGTAGCTTGGCTGGATCAGGATAGACACCATGCTTGCTAACAACATGCCCTAAGATGGTAAGCTGGTGGCCAGCGAAGTGACATTTCTAAAAATTCAGCTGCAGTCAAGCGTCCGAAAGACAAGTCAGGACGCTAGTGAGGCGGCTGAGGTGGGAGACGATATGCTTCGATAAAACGATGACGTCATCCAAATAGCACAGGCATGTGTTTAATTTAAAACCTCCAATGATGTTGTCCGTGAGACGCTTGAATGTGGGAGGTGAATTACAGAGGCCGAATGGCATGACCTTAAACTCGTTAAACTCGTACAATCCGTCAGGCATTACGAACGCCGTCTTGGAGTGGTCGGCTTCATACATAGGGATCTGCCAGTAGCCGGATCGAAGGTCTACAGAAAAAAAAAACTCTGGTCCTTGCAGGAAATCGAGGGCGTTATCAATTCTGGGCAGCGGATAAACATCTTTTCTCGTGATCTTATTAAGATGCCTGTAATCAACGCAAAATCTGATGCTGCCATTCTTTTTTTTCACCAGTACATTTGGAGAGGCCCAAGGGCTGTTTGAAGGTTGTATGATGCCATGTCGTAGCATATCGTTCACCTGACCATCAATGGCACGGCGTTCAGCGTGAAAACTTGATATGGGCGCTGGCGCAAAGGTGAATGGCTACCGGTGTCGATTTTGTGAACGATGGCAGACGTGCGACCCAAAGAGGGTGGACTATGGTCAAATGACATCTCCTTGCATTGTATATGTTCTGTGTGTATAAAAATGTATTTGTGATCCATTATGTTCTGATTAATTTGACAGTGCTTTTATGTGCGTTTATGTATTTTGCTACAAATTCATTTGTACGGATTGTTTTATTTTTCGCCCCTCCCCTACGTAATGCCTATATGGCGATGTAGGTACTCTGTAAAAAAATAAATAAATAAATATTGCTCTACCTGACATTCGACATATGAAGCATTCTGGTGATTCATGTGCGATGTAGCTCATACTTTCATTTGAAAGCATCATCGTGTTCGAAAATAGTTGTGAATAGAAGGCAGTTAAATAGAATGCGCTTTGGCTTCGCATGGCTTACCTGTGCCTGGCAAGTCATATGAACAGCAGGCGCGCTTTTCGTCTGACCACTTTGCCCTGTGAAACTCGAGGGAATTCCTCAAAAGATGTGCCTTACCCAATAATAACTTGTCTGCGAGGGAAAGATGTTCATTCATGGGTTCATGAGCCTCAGAACAAAAGTAGCCAGTATTTCATTTCATTTTTCATTTCATTTATTTACGACAAAGACAAATAACATCTTGAGGCGACCAAGTAGAGCCAGGAGTTGGGTGCGCTGAGCAGCGGGAAGTGAAGGGTCATTCGATGAAAAAAACCTCCGGAGATGAAGAGGGAGCGGTATCAGAGGTAATGGTGTTTAAGGGAGATAATGGCAAGTCATCTTGTAGGTGTTAGATGAAACCGGATCAATTTCTTCAAGGTGACCAAGGACTTCGTCACGGAATAATATGGCTGGGAAAGAAGTGAGTTCATTATATAAATGGAGCCACGTGAGTTTTCTACGGTGACAACTGCAAACGGGAGAAGGAAGCTTTTGCGAAAGTCGAAGGCGTCGGAGGGGACAAGGAGGGTGTTGACAGAGGGTGCGTCGTCGCAGATGAGTGACGTAAGAAAACAGGATATATGAGGAATGTGAGTGTCCGCGGCCATGGTGACTCGGGGAGATAGCGGCTTGAAAGAAGATCTTTCAGACGTTGGCGCTTCACACACGGGCAGTTCACATATCGTCCAGAACTCTAGTTCAGCACGCGCACAGTGAACGAAGGCATGATGAGCGCAGAGGAAGTCCCAGCCTAAGATGATATTGTGTGAACATGGAGAAAACACAACGAATTCGACTACATACAAAATATTTTGGATGACCAGTCGAGCTGCTCACGCCGCAGAAGGTTTGACATGATGCGCAGTGGCCGTGCGGAAATAGACATTGCAAAGTGGCAGCGTAAGCTTTTTCAACTTGCAGCACAGTTCACCACTTAGCACAGACACGGCAGCACCAGTATCAACGAGCACTTTCGCAGCTACACCATCAATATGCACAGTTATTTCATGAGCAGATAAAACGGAGGCCTTGAAAGTTTTAATATGTGCGCAGCTCTTGCCTCGGAAACTGCGATGGTCAGATTCCCGTTTGGGTGGGTGGTGATCGAGGAAGCATCGGAGAAATAGAGTGGCACCGTGGTGAGGGCGACCGATTCCTGTCGAAGCCGTGGCGACATGGCGGCGACTGATCTGACATGGGGAGGAACGAAGACGACTGTGGTGGCTCTGAACGATAGCAGTCGTAAGTAGCCTCACCAGCAGTTGGGTTGTAATCCGGACGATGGCAGTAGCGTGCTACACGACCGGGAAGATGGCAGGAATAGCAAATTGGCCTGTTGTCCGAAGTGCGCCAAGGGTTAGTTGATGGTGGTGCAGGGTGTCGAACAGGAAGTGGGTGGAGACGGGTAGGTGGACTTACTGCGTGGAGGGGACGGGGCTGTCTAACAAGATCCGTGACTGTTGGTAGTGACGGCGGCGATCATCTGGCAGCCTCAGTGTAATTGAGAGGTGCGGAGATAGGTGAAGGATGGTATGTGGGAGACAGGGCGTGAGAAACTTGCTCTTCAATTGCCTTGCGGAGCATTGGGGTCAGCGTGCGCGCACTGGTCGGGGCGTATGCCACAAGAGACAATTGTTGCGAAACTTCTTCAAGGACAAACTCATGGATTTGCTGCATTAACGTGGTTTGTTCTGAGGAAAGAGCGCCACTGGGTAATCCAGATGTAGAGGTCCTGTCGAGGTTTAGACGTCGAGTATAAATACGCTCTCTCCGCAGCTCGTCAAAACTCTGACAGTGCTGAATGAGCTGGGCAACGGTTTGCGGGTTTTTTGCAACGAGTTCGTGAAAGGCGTCGTCCTCGATACCGTTCATCACGTGTCTTATTTTGTTAGTGTCAGACATGTCGGAATTGATACGACGGCAGAGGTCCAGAACATCCTCAATGTATGAGGTAAAGGTCTCGCCAGAGCGCTGTGCGCGGCAGCGCAAGCGCTGTTCGGCGCGGAGCTTGCGAACAGCGGGTCGGCCAAAGACTTCTGCAAAGCGCGTCTAGAAGGTTGACCAAGAGGGTATTTCCGCATTGTGGTTGTTAAACCACAGATATTCCACACCCGCGCGATAGAAATTGAGGTAAGCGAGCTTGTCTGTGTCACCCCACTTATTGCGGGCGCTTACCGCTTCATACTGCGACCGCCAGTCTTCAGAGTCTTGGTCGTCGGTCGCGTTGAAAGTCACTGGATCTCGCTGTCGTGGAATTTCGGAACAGGTGACAGATCGGATTATGACTGCAGGTGGCTGGGTCGTGTAGTCAGGCATTGGCGAGGCGGGGGGTTGAGGTAGTGTAAGAATAGTGTTAGACGCCACGCCGGGGTGAAGCAACCGTTTAATGGGCCTAACAGCAGTGAGATAGCAACCAGCGGTTTCAGCAGCAGCTGTAGTTGCACGAGTCTCTGCGACAACAAACGGCTTCTTCGTCGTTTCTTTAGCAGGGCCCGTATTTGTCACTACAGTATATATATATATATATATATATATATATATATATATATATATATATATATATATATACGTATATATATGTATATACACATGTATATATATATATATATGTATATATACATGTTCACGTGCTACGTGACGCCACCCAGGCTCATAAAAGGGCGTGCCACACTCGCCGCCATGGCTACTAGTGGCGCTGACTGACACTCCCACGTTTAAGTTCACATATAAACACAATAAAGTGGCTGGGGGATGGCTGGGGGATGGCTGGGGGATGGCTGGGGGATGGCTGGCGTGGTAGCTCAGTGGTAGAGTATCGAACGCATTATTCGAAAGTCACAGGTTCGGTTCCCACTCACGGCAAGTTATCTTTTCACCCACTTTTCTTTCTTCATATTTACATCACAAATCAGTCTAATATTTTTCCCTGTACTTTCCTTGGCAATATTGTCGGTTAGATCTCATTATTAATGTGTAAAACACAGAAAAACGAGCCCTTAAATATACACTTCTTTGCAACACTTGCTTTGTAATATCGCTAATAGAATGAATAAATAATTATTTTTATTATTTTAGTGGGATTCTCTTGTGATTTTCTAGTACTTCAGATTTTTATTTATTTTAATGAACACGACACTTCAAGGTCGGCTAGTTGCACATTACAAAGCAAGGTGCTTTTCTCTATCAGAGTTTACCAGTGGGAGTGCTGATGTGCGGTTCACTTACCTAGATTTATTTTTTCTTAGATGAACGGTGAAGAACTCGAAAAAAACTTGTATCATGATACTATACAGAAGTCATCCCTCATTATTGACCATCTACTAGGAGGCGGCGTACAAGTGGTAAGCTTTTCAAGGCGATTAGAGAGTACGGTATAATGAAACGTAACTATGGCAAGTTTGATGGAAGCGCTTAAAGTTCACATACACAACAGCTTAGAGTGACACATCAAATGCCTGCTCGAAAATTGAGCAGCTGACATACAAAATATTGCTCGCGCACTGTATTTCTGGCAGCTGTTATACTTTACTTTTTTTTAATCGGGCAACGGGTGCCTGCATTAGAAATACATAACATGTTAACCGTTTCACGTCTTCAGCATAATTGTAACGTGTAACAAAGCAAAAGACATTCGACGATTTCTGCAGCGGATGTCGGCTTTTCCGGCCTCCGCTTGAAGCTACTCATGATATTTCTGAATTGTATCGCATTTCCACAAATAAGGATCAATTTTTTAGCCATCTTTAATTAGCACTAACTGACTTTGAGATTGACTATATAGATGGCTCATAGACAAGTTCGAAAACTCAATGCCGCACATGCTGCTCGCACTGTCGTCTTCTGCTTTTTGACATGCGCACTCTAGTATATATGTGTCTTTCTATTGTGAGAATAAATCAGGTGTTAGCGAGCACTCTTGCAGTGTCGCCCTTCTTTGCTTCATGACGCGAATACTTTACGTCAGTTGAACCAAGCCTCCATTACATAAATTTTCACGGGCGCTCAGATTCCACCTGGAATTTGGTTATTATGGTAACATAAACGACGCGCGGGCCATGTTATACTCTGTATATGTGAAATACGCATTGTATTGTCAGAAAAGAAGCAGCTGCTAATGAAATCATATTCACATACTTGTATCTAGAGTCAACTCACCATATCCATTTTTTGTGTGACAAAACATACTATATATATTGAAAAATTTCAGCGAGGAATTCTAACTCGCAACTTGAGGATTGCTCCCACTAATGATTCCAGCCAATCTGGTGTGGACTCAGGTGAACATGAGGTGGAACAAATTGTTACATCACGAGAGGAAGGTGAGTTATCAGCTCTTTCTGAACTCTTTCTACAAAACCTTGGTATTTAATAGATTTTTTTGAAAGAGGGAACTTCTTCGTGGAGCTGCTTCGTTGTGGAACATCCAGCAAGCCTGTTCAGGCTAAATATGCGTAGGAAGCGTTTAATAATTGAAGTTATGATAGAAGTACCATGGAACTGATCATTGGTTTGCCCATTACTCGACAGGCGTGAAGCCACTTCAAAAGGTGAGTTTACAAAAAACCAACTAAAAACCCAAAAAAAGAAAAGAAAAGGAATCGCCTTGACGCTTTTGTGATGCACTTCGGGAAACGCAACGTTACTGGCATATTAGAATAAAGACGTTGATTCTGGAACATTAAACATTAATGTTCAAGCGAAAATTTTCGATGCTTGCACGAAGACGCGCAAGACTTCAAGACGCGAAACTTGACAACATTGAAGACGACTGTGGCCGCTTCTGGTTGCTTCTTCACTGAGGATGTTTCTAAGACTTACGCTATGACGTTTTTTTTTAAATGCTTCTAGGTCAATGCCAAGCTTTATCTAGAGAATTCTATGTGATGCTAGATAGCTCAGACATCTTTTAGGTTAATCACAGACAGACACGCTCGACAGAGACGCTGAATCTTCAGAGACAGAAACTCGCTCTGAGCAGAAGCGTTCGCACCGTTCGTAGATCTATGGTCACCACGTAGTTGGCATAGGTCTTCCACCACTTCCGGGTCTTCCCACAGCCGCCATTGCATTTCGAGTTGCCTAGTGCTGAGCTAAATGTTGATGTTTTATTCTTTATTTGACCTGTATGAGATATTCGCTTACCCGAATTTTTGTGTCACATGCCCGTGTGTTATGACAATAGTTTTTTGATAGACCACGAACATTTCTGCTGCTCATGCTAGTTTGTTGGTTTATCGGTAGTATTTTTCATTTCCAGTGAACCAGGCCCGAGTAGTGGGATTTACCTAAATTTTATGGTACAACTGATAGGCCACACAATGTACACCACAAACAATAGGCCGCGCAAATTATGATAGAGTAAAACCGCTTCACTCTTAAAGAAATAGCCAATGCGTTTGCTAGAGCACAAGAAATTTTTTTATTAAGGTCGGCTGTAGAAACATTCAGATTTTTGAACAGACAGTACCTATTGATTTTTCAAACAAGTGATGATCCCTTGGGAAGAAAACGATTTACAGCCTTTGTTGCCGACATCATATGTAAGCAGAATAGTTTATTGTAATGCTTGAACAGTAGCAATAGTTGTGACCACATTGTGGAGGTGAATGAAACACGGTTCTGGTTGAAGTAGATACAACAAGAAATACGTGACCACATTTCTTGAAGACTCTCGTGTTTTTTTTGTTCCTGTAGAATCAATACCCATTGAGTGTTTGGTGCATCAATAGTTCATATTGTGCCGCTAAGCGAAGTAGTTAGTGAATATGACTGAATGTTCTTATTTAGCAGTAGGGCAATGCAAGCCTAAGTGTCAGGTGTTTCTGGCCTTCATTCTATTTTTATGGAAGTACAAGGCTAAACTTTGACATCAAACTACGGAACCGATGTCTCCAGCCTGTTGTAGTATGAACATACCGGACTGAACACGCAGGGGTGAACACTGCACACCACTACACTAAGTTTGGTGTAATAAAATCCCTCTCAAAATTATCTAATTATTGTCACATTAGTGAATCTGCAGAAATGGTTTTTTTCAAGTGGTGGACAATTTATAACTCAATAAAGCGTCTGATTTTAGTTGGCTATCGTGTCGTAGCTAGGCTTGCACCAGAGCCAGTGCATGAAATGTGATAAAAAGTTCCCTCATAAGCGTAACTTTCTTGAGAGTAGAATATAGAGAATAGGAAACGGGCTCGTGTTTTTCTCTGTCGTATATTTAAATAGGTGTAGATGTTTGGTTAGGGATGGGAAAAATGTATATTAGGTATATTAGGGAGCTTATGAAAATGTATATTAGAGAGCTTTTGAATAAAGTTGCTCCATCGTAAGTTAATAAATGCGTCATTGTGTAATTGTTCTAGTGCATTGAACGTAGATCAGTATATGGGTTTCAAAACAAACCTAGTGAAAATAATACTGGGGGTCATAAAGCTATGGGGCAGGCCACAGTTTAATATTTACCCCTCTAACAACGAAAACTGCAGACATCGGCTTGATTGGGTTGACACTGCTATAAACTGAAAGAATCTTAACTGACGTTACCATTCAGGCAGTCATGGGTAGAGCAGTTCCTATAACGAAATATTCTATGACCTCCAGGTTTCCATCAAAAGGAAGAAGGTATGCTGATTATACGCGAGTTACTTCTCGTACAGGATGCTAAACCATGAAGACCAAGAATTGTTATATATTAACACTGAATCTTACTAGAGATGTGAGAAATATAAAGCCTACTCATCATGAATACTGGGAAATAAAGTGCCTAAAAGAACAAGAACATGCAAGATTATAACAAGAATTCAATGGCCATGATTTCGCTTCTGTCATCATTTTACTTATTTTTACGACAATGTCAGCTTTAGTAGCCCTTACCGGCACCGCGAGTTGCCAGTACTATAGTTGTACATCACTAATAAATCAAATAATAAGCTAATGAAGCAAATAATGAGGCTGCTTACGTTTTTATAGATTTGAAGTTGGCAACACCCAATGGCCATTCTTTTGTTTTGTCTGTAAGTTTTCCTAACGCGTGCTCGAATTCAAGTTAACGTCACCTGTTATCCACCAACTCACAGAGAGTAAGAGCGAAATATAATACTTTTCAATGCATAGGAGAAATCTGACAACAAAATAGTAGCAACACCTAGCTTTGAATTCTTAGAGCATTGACATGGTAATCGAGGCTGTTAAAAAACATTTTATCTTTTTATTCGCACCATTTCTAGATCTTGGAAGACGTACTGAAGATCCTGAACCAGAGTGTGATCATAAAGATTTCAGTAAGCATGTGACTTGTTCACTTTGATGTATATACACGCATACATAGAAAAATAGGCGCAATTGATTTACCATGCGTATGCTTTACGCATGCGCTATCAAGTGAAGAAATTGATTAAGTACGACTGTTTCGAATAATCAAGGTAATTATTCGTGAACGTGGAGGCCATTGGGTGGTATCCTTTGATGTAGGTGCACCAAGTATAAGCCTTGTCTCCGTGCCTAGCCTGACTTACCATATGATACTGATAGCGCATGTAGAGAGGTACAGCTCAGATAACATACGGGCGTGCGTATAGATAATCGCTTAAAAAAGAAACTACTGACAAAATTGGTTAGGATAAGAGATGTGACGTCCTTCAAATCCTACAACACAAAGAAATCAAAATTGTAACTTCGACGCAGAAAACACATAACGTAGGCTCTGACCTTCTACACTTGAAAGATGCCCGAAGAAGCTTGACCAAGAGATAGAAGCGACAGAAATGAAGCCGCAAGCTCAAATAGAAAAATAAATATAAAACACAAACGGCCAAAGAATGCGCTAATCGACTTGCAACGGCCAACAGACGGTGCCTTTGTGGATAATTACAGAGAACACAAAAAAACAGTGAAAACGTAGGGCATTTTTAAAGCAAAGACTGACCCACTAAAAACAAGACGCGAAAGGCAAAAAACTTGGAGATAATAATGCACTCATACCGCGACACAGTAGACGAACTTCCCCAAGCAGTTCATTTCTAATGCTTCGGTGACAAGACTACGATACCTCAATAAATTATGAAACGCAAAAAACGCAAAAATTGAAATCACTGTGAGTTTGTGTCTTTTTCGGTGTCTTTTGCGCTACGTTTATTATTACATTGTTACATACTACTTCCGCAAGACAGACTTCTGAAGTTTGATACCTACGCACCAAGTTGAGTACAGTTGACACCCACCCCAGTAATGGATGAACTTTTCATGGAAGCAAAAGTTAGAGCAGGAATCGTCATTATCATCATATTTGATATCATCAGCCTGACTACGTCCACTGCAGGAAAAAGGCCTCTCCAATGTTCCGCCAGTTAACCCGGTCCTGTGCTTGCTGCTGCCAATTTATACCCGCAAACTTCTTAATCTCATCTGCCCACCTAACCTTCTGTCTCCCCCTAACCCGCTTGCCTTCTCTGGGAATCCAGTTAGTTACCCTTAATGACCAGCAGTTATCCTTTCTACGCGTTACACGCCCGGCCCATGTCCATTTCCTCTTCTTTATTTCAACTTTGATATTCTTAACCCCCGTTTGTCCCCTAATCCAATCTGCTCTCTTCTTGTTTCTTAAGGTTACACCTACCATTTTTCTTTCCATTGCTCGCTGCGTCCTCAATTTAAGCTGAACCCTCTTTGTAAGTCTCCAGGTTTCTGCTTCGTAGCTAAGTACCGGCAAGATACAGCTGTTATATACCTTCCTCTTGAGGGATAGTGGCAATCTACCTGTCATAATGTGAGAGAGCTTGCCGAATGTGCTCCACCCCATTCTTATTCTTCTAGTTACTTCAATATCGTGGTTCGGCTCTGCCGTTATTACCTGCCCTAAGTAGACATAGTCTTTTACAACTTCAAGTGCACTATTACCTATCTCGAAGCGCTCTACTTTTTCGTGGTTGTTGTACATTACTTTAGTTTTCTGTAGATTATTTTAAGACCCACATTTCTGCTCTCCTTGTCTAACTCCGCAATCATGAGTTGCAATTCGTCCCCTGAGTTACTCATCAATGCAATGTCATCGGCGAAGCGCAGGTTACTAAGGTATTCTCCATTAACTCTTATCCCTAACTGTTCCCATTCTAGGTTTCTGAAAACCTCGTGTAAGCACGCGCTAAATAGCATTGGGGAGATCGTGTCCCCCTGCCTTACACCCTTCTTGATTGGTATTCTGTTGCTTTCTTTATGAAACACCATGGTAGCAGTTGACCCTTCAGACACTGCGGAATCAGGGCGTAGATAAAGTATATATAAACATTCTGGAAGAAATCTACAGGGGATCAACTGCAGGAACCATCAGTACAAAACAAAAGGCGATGGAACGGGCGGATCAATTGCGAAATGTCATAACCAGAAACATGAATGATTAATTTTTAACAGCCCTCATGAACTTCATTGGAACACGCGGTTATCATCACAATCTCGAAACCAGGGAACAAATCAGTTTTAGAAAAGCTTAGGTTCATATATATTCGTCATGTTTAGAAAAAGCGAGAGATATGCAACGCTAGACTACAACGAGATAATGAAAAAAGAAACCTAATGCTTGACATCATGTTTCGCTGTAGGCCACATCTTCTAACACATGACATTCTCCTGCTTTTAAAAGAGGAACTCTTAGTCAACGTCACCAAGACTGAAGAATAGATCGTCACGGTCACCGATAAAGTTAGTCACAAAAGGATACTGAATAGTCTAGCCGAGACCAAGTGTGGTATGCGGACGTATGATTACGTTCGAAGCTTCCTCAACCAAAGAAAAGCTGTTATAGAAGTAGATGAAGAATCAAATGTCATCCATCCTCCTAACAAAGGCTCGGCATGAGAGCAGCCATTTCTTCCACACTATTCAAAATCGCTATGATAAATTTATATATGAAGTTGAAAGTCCCAAAACCACCATAACATTATGAGAGGCGCCGTAGTGGACGGCTCCGGAAATTCCTACCACCTGCGGCTCTACAACGTGCACCGAAATCTCTGCACACGTGCCTACATCATTTTCGCCTCCATCGAAAATGCAGCTGCTGGAACCGGGATTTGATCCCGCGACTTGCGAGTTAGCAGCCGAGTACCTTAGCCACTAGTCCACCATGGCGGGGCAACATGGCTATGATTGGACTGGACAAAATAATTTTAAAAATTCTCGTCATTCGACTTTTCTTATATGCGAATAATAAACAATATAGATACCGAAAAGCAACTTCGACAAAAAGGAGGTAAAGCTCCCATTGGCAGCCAAAATAATGAATCAAGTACAACAGAAAGCGGATGACAGTGTTCGCTGGAGAAGTCAGAACTCATTCACCTTAAAAAAGACGAAGAACAAAAAACAGATCCGAAACTCAAACTTGTAATCAGCTTGAGGGGAAGGTCATTACGGAAAGATTGACACTTAGAGTGCTGGAAATGTGGCTACAATCGAACAAGAGATACTTCCACAATTTTTGGAGATGACCAAAAGATTAACTAAATAAATTAATCGGATGATAGTCGGTGTGACTCATAATTAGATAGGGATAGGAGAGCCAGACACCCCAACTTGAGTAATGTATTCGCTCCAGTTGCATGCCGTAAATAGGAAACAACAAAAAGAGGCTAATAAATTAAGAAAGATGGCATATAAGAAAAGTACTGGCGTTGCCGTGCAACATTTCAAATGAGAGGCTTCTATTGCTCGGTCAGCACAGAATACTTGATGAGCTATCTGAGGCCCAGCTCATAAGGCAGAGGAGTCGATTGGTGTACCATCCAGGTGACAGACCTTTTCTTCGAAAAGTCGGCCTTGAATAATGTATACGTACACACGTAAAGACCAAGGAGCTACTCTGCCAGATCAGATATCTGTATGAGACATTCCCAATGCCACAAAACAAGGATCGAACAATACACGTAGGTGGACAAAAGCGAAATCGGCATACATAGATAAACAACAATATTCCTAAATAATGCAAAATTTACGGAAGCTTCGGCATACTGGGACACCACACACACGGAAAAAAATCTGGTGTAGATTGTCGTAAACAGAACCTCTTCGGTTCTGAACCAACAATAGAAAAAAAAACGGAACCAACAACCATCATAGAAGCAGAACAAATTTCCATTGTCTTAGCTCTAAGGGAAGGCATGGAGCACCAACGCTCTGCTGACAATTATCACATATTCTCAGGTGACATGTAGAAATTATCAGAAGGAAACATTGGAGTCAAGGCACACCGAATACTTGCCCAAAGTAGCAAGGAACTAGGCATCAGATATACACAAACAGTAACGTGCACCCCGGGACACGATGGTGTTGATGGAGACTTCTATGCAGATGAGGTGGCTCGAGGTTTTACTAACCGCTGTGCTGCCGTGATTGCAACACCGTAAAGGACCGGACACCTATGTATCCCAATTACAAAGCAATCCTGCAACATTATAGAATTACAGAGAATGGCGACGACTACCCAGAACAGCGTATAACCTTTCGGCCTTTGAATGTGCAGCGTTTCATCAGCTACAAATGAACAAATATTTAAAGTGCTACAGAATACATACGTACTGCCCTAGAGCATATAGAGACATCTGCCCGGAGTGTAGGAGCACACCGATGGCCTACCACATCCCATGGGAATGCACAGCTTCCACTGAGGAGTAGAAAGAGGATTACAGAAGAGGGAGCTGGGAAGCAATGCTGTCCAGCCTTGCCCTTGGGGATCAGCTGGAGCTAGTCACGATGGCTGAAAGAATGGCCAGTGCCAGCGGTGCCTTAGAATAGAGGCCTGACTTATGGCAGTGCCTTGTTTTAGCGGCAAAGCAATCTATTTATTGCACAAATACAGTTTTGTTCTTCTGCGAAATTATCTTGCGCTGTATACAGGTTACAAGAATAAAGAATGCTACAGGTTTGCTAATTAAAATTGGGACATGAAATATATGCAAACCCTAGGTGCAATCAAGCCGATGGTGTCACTGTCGCCGTAAGAATCTGTGCAGAATATAAGTTGTTATAGTCCTTACAGATGTATACGATGTTAAATCTGTAGGCGTTTATATGTCTTCAACGTAGCGCTAATGATTTTGTAATAATGTGTTAGGAACTCTTCTGCAATTACTCAACACGTGACACCCTCAAAACACAAGCGTAGCTTGCAACCAAATATAAGCGAATAGTGTGGAGTGATGTATTGTACCAGTATGCTGCAGCGGAGAACACTCATGATGATGACATCGGGAGGTTATCATTTACAGGGAGGTAAACAGAGAGGCTAACATTTAACAATAACAACAAAATGACATT